AACGCCTGTGGTTCCCCCGGCCCAGAAGAAACCAGCGTGGGGGGAGGGGCAGGTAGGACTTGGGAAAGGGGGGGGGGGGGGTAGGGGAAGCACTGCTGATTGCTTCTGTGAGCTGCACATAGCCCCCTAGGAAACTTTTGAATACCCCACACTTTGGGAAACACTGACTTTGTTCTTTAAAATGTGCCCTGGTTATGCAAATTTCTGCAGGCTCTGATTGAATAACAGCACTTAGGCAGAGAACAGGAATCTGTAGTTATTTAGGAGAAAAAACAGAACAATTATACAAATAAGATTCTTTTAGCATTCAAGAAAAAGTGAATACTTAAGAATAAATAACTACAGCACTCCTGCACTCTGACTGGCCAAGACAATTGTTTTTCATTATAGTTTCACACTCTTTTTCTGATGTGGAAAGAGTATATGTAATGCTAAAAGGTTTTCTCTTCAAATAACACTTTTTTCTTATTGATAATAAAAGCAGATAACAGCAAAGTAGAGAGCCAGTTTATTTCACAACTCAGATAAGAACTCCTAGCATGATGGTGCCACAAGTAATGTCACAGCTCAGCGAAGCAATAGTCAGACCTTGCAGATGTAATTATTAGAGCCAAAACAGCAAATTATAATGCACCATTTATCATTTACATACAGCACAATAATACAATGTCAGCACAAGTGTTTCACACCAACTTTTAGGAAGCTGTGCTGTCAAACTGGTACAACTATCATTTATAAAAAGCCACTAGCTTAGCATTTTCAAATCCGGTCCCAGGGACAAATTGTTTGTTGGCTCCATTCACATCACAGGGCAGAGTGACAAACTGGCACACAAAGTTCTTCACATTATAGACCACGGATTTAAAAAGAAGGGATTATTTCAACTCTTAATTCAGTGCACAGGAAGAGCTGGGAGGGATACCTTAACAACATCTGCATGCCTTATGCTCTGCTTTAGTCTGTCCTATGGGTTTTTTCCTTTTCATAACTGTTAAAACTCTTTAAAAGCACAAAAAAAAAAAAGTAGAGTAACAAAAAGTGCGTAAAAATGACAAAATACCTGATTAATTATATGCTGTTGTAATTTTTCTCCACACACTGAAAGAGAAAAAAATAGAAGTAATTAGCTTTAACATATTTTAATGAATAAAATGATCATATACATAACACAACAAAAATGATGCAGTCAACAAAAAACACAATATGATTAAATAACAAAGTACAAAAGAGTATAATAGGCTTCAAAAGGAACATATTAAAATGGAAATTTAGCCAAAGCCATAATATTTGTGGAATGGAACAAATACTGTCATATACAAACTATGAGGACTAAGGTACAATTTAAAGGAAAGCCAATCAAAAACAGTAAGGCTAATATGAGACAAAATAAGTATGTTAGAGATCAGAATCACTAATCCACTATGAAATAATCAGACAAAGGAAAAAGGAAATTACAGGGCATGTCTACATATGCTTTTATGTGCGCCTAAACTTAATGCACGTTTGCCTAATGTGTATTAAGGTGATTTAGGCACGCGTCTACACATGCATGCACTAAGGTACATTAATGTGGTGTGCAAACTGCTGTGTCAACATACACAGCCTTAGCACATCTACACGTGCATTAAGGTGCTTTAGCTATTTGTACCAAAATTTGATACCTGCAAAAGGAAGTATCACATTTAGGCACAAATAGCCTAAAATAGCCATATTTAACGTGCATTAAGGGTGCACATGTGTAGACTCATGCCCTTAATGCACCTTAAAAATGGTTAATGCACGTTAAATTGGCATGTGTTAAATTAGATGCTCCTTCAGAAAAGTTACATATATGTTAAGTGATCTGTTCTGGGTAATGGGAAAGATAGGTACTCCAAACTAATATCTGAAATTAATGGAAGTGATTGACACAGCTAGTACCCAGACTGTCAATAAATAATTTCAACACAGTATTGGAACTAAGGCCCTGGATTCCCATAATTAATTAGTAACAGAGATGTCAAAGCTTGGATGGAAATAAAAAATAAAGAAGCAAACCTACTAATAATTATATCATTTAATTTAAATCAATAAGAATGGAAGATGGTCATATTATGTCCAATTTTATGAAGAATTGATACACATGCATTTTATGTTGGAATGGAATCGCATATAGATATCGCATGCAATATCACACCATTAGGCCAACCCAGATGGTGACTGGGTTGCAATGGAATGCCCAGTCACATAGGGAAATATCCTTCTACAGAGCACAGGGTTCTTGACCAGTTATATCCAGCCACCCAAGCCCCATGGCGCACTCTTGGAATATATAATTTTCTGGGACGTGTGCTCAAGCATGATGCATGCATGTTCGAGTCTACCAGACTAGAACCTCTGAAACATGGCTCCAGTGTAGTAAACTCAAGCGACACTTATTTGGAAAAGTGTTATTTTTCCATTAAAAAAAAAGAGACATCCCCCGTTAAATCAAGAGTACAGTATCATTTCAAAATCTACACTAAATTGTGTTGATGCCATGTCAAAGGACAGTCTATTGTAAGGTTTTATCATAAAAAATTACAGGGATGTGTTAGAGGCATTTGGTCGATGGCATAAGAAGATGTATCTAGATAAAGAAAAAGATAAATTTTACATTATGAAATGAAAACAAGATGAAAACAAATTAGATGTCAAAAACTTTCTAAAAAGGTACAGATGGAAAACAAAGCAAGCCTGCTAGGCAATACAAAAATTAGAAGTTCAAAATGAAGACAACAAAATTTCAAAGTTGCAGGATTACTCCTACAGGATATAGTGGCAAAGAGATCATTAATATTTAGACTAGATTTAAACACATATGAATAACAGTGGCACCTATAGCTAAGATAAGTTGTATACATAGCCAAAGTTAATCATCAGGACCAGGTACAGACATTATACTTTTACCAGTATATGTGATTGGAAACCAGACTATACCCATAAGATAACAGAAATTCAGCACATATAGACTGGTTTAAAAATGGTGAAACTTAGTTTAAGATTTGCCCCCATCCACCAAAGGGTAAATGTGTGTTGTTTGCTACTGGTTTAAACTATGCTGCTTATAGAGAACCGCATAACTTAGATAGATTCCACCTTGGGCTTTTTAACTGTCTGTACTTAGCCCAGGTGGCTTGTTTAAGAAATTCTACGCTATCATAATATTGCACAACCTTACTAATTGAATTATGGTTTTGTGTGCTTATTTGGCTTTCTTCTGAACCATTCTGGGAGTGGTAATGGAGATAATGGTCTAGGCCACCCAATACTGGTACTTTACTATAGTAATGGAGTTTGTATTTCTGTTAAGAATGACATACCTTTTCAAAATGAAATCTATTTTTACCATTTAGGGAGAGCAATTTTAATTAGTAGTCTATAGCAATAAGTCTACAGAGTGACCACAGCAATTACACTCTTCCTGCAACTGGAGGTCATCCATAACCACTGGAGACAGTCAAGAACTCCCACTCATACATTTAGGTTTACTTGCAGTTGGAACTATCTAGAACAATTGCAATGGGACTTCCTTCACAATTTATTAGCATGGCTCTTTAACTGGCCTGGGAATATGATACTAAATTATAGTTGTATAACTGAGGTACGTGGCTGTTGTGGGGGTGACTGGGGCAGTAGTAGGTACCCCTTTGAGCAGAGGAGTACAAAAATAGCTGCTGCTGCAATGGCAGCTGGCTGCATCCCTGCCATCAGCACCAATGCACCTCTATGCACTGTGGCTACCCAGAGCATGGAGCTGCCATGCTACATCTCTGCTAAATGATGATGCACTCACTTCCTCCTTCAAGAGCTGTCGTGGAAATACTGATCCTTTCTTTAAATTACTGTCTCTGTACTAGCATATAGAAGTATAAACAATGTAGATTTTTGAAAACTGGGTAATAACTGTATATTTTCAAATTGAACACAAGTATCTTATTATTACTAAGAGAAATGAGCTTCCCTACTGATCCATTACACTGATTTCTTCATAAGGAGAAAAACTGAAGATAATTTACTACTTTAGGCTATATCATAAGGTTGCTTCTTAATTATAATTATTTCCTGCATGCTGCTTTAGTATTTTTGTTTGCTACATGTAAAACAGGATACATTTTAGCTGCAAGAGTAAAAAAAATATATATATATATAATTTAGTGATTTACAGCAAGTTATTCCATGTTCATTGAGATCATAGTTGGGAGCAAGAGCATTACATTTTGGTGCTAATTTTTAACCAAATAAAAGTTCTGGTAATGGAAGATTAAAGAAGTGTGTGCTCTACCATTCCTTAATGATATACAAGTTGCTAGAAAAGTATGGCATTTGAAATCTCTGCTTAGATCAACATTATTTTGCTCAAAGGTTTGTGGACTTTGAATACTGATGCTTTCCTGTTTCTCAGTACATTTGTTTTAAGGCTATTTTGATTCACTTTAAAGGAATTTTAATAACTTTCTGTTGACAGCATGGACAGCTGGTCTTGAGAATTAGTGAAAATTCACTTACTGACTGAGGAAGGAAGTGACATCAATGAGTTTTTAAAGTCAGCCCAGAGGGAAAAGTGAGTTGTGTTGAGTAACCTTTCATTTCATTGTACTTACAGTGATGCCTTGAGATGCAAATTGTATTATCAATGAAACCTATTATCTCTACCTAATATAAGTAAAAAGATGAAATGTAAAGAAAGGTTACAGGGGGAATCAATGGCACAATCCATAGCTCTCCCTTTTGCTGATTTAAATACAAGGATTCTACAACAGGAGTAATTACTGCAAAGAAGTAAGATCAGCAAAGAGGATGCAAGATTAGCAGAGCAGAAGTTGACTATCCACTTCAGAAGACTGGGGATCAAGCTCAAAGTAACAAGGAATGAGTGAGAACACGTATAACACTCAAACCATTCCAAGAATGTCACTGGTTCACAACTGTCCTGGGTTAGAGGTGGCTGTACATGTGCTGCTAAGGGTTCTAAGTAGAATCACCTCCTTTTAGTCACTGCCATGCCATTCAACTACCACCTGAGGGTGGTATAGTGTACCCAGCCCAATTGCAATTTTATGCTTCCCTTTCTTACTAACAGTAGTGAATTCAACAAAGACCCATTCCTGTACTTTATTGAAAGCTGCAGTATGGTGGTACCCTGACTGGAAATATCTAGGGTGTCTATGTATGAGGGGGAGGAGGGCAGAGATAGGGGGAGTTGTTTTGACTCTGCATCTAGGTTTGTGAGACCTGGGTGCTCTGGAGATGCCAAAACTTCTAAAGAGCTCGTTCCCTCAAGCCACCAATACATTTATTTCTGTTCTTAGAAACTAATTGGGGTGCAGTGCTCCCTGCCTGATTTGGCACGGGAAGTAGGGGTGGCTAGGGGCAGGCTACCTGATCCCTTCTTCTGTGTGCAAGAGCAGATGGGGGGACATCAAGCAGCAGCTGCCCGCTGCCTTTAAAGAGTGGATCAATTCCCTTCCATTGGTGGCAATGGAATCCTTGGGAAGTCCTCAAGACCCCTCAACAGAAGGAAATTGACCAGCTGTTTAAAGCGTAGGAGAGCTGCCCCCATAGGTCCCAGCTGTGGTCATCTGCAGGCAATAGGAGTTGGAGCAGTAGAGTTCTGGCTGTGTACATGAGCAGCCAGTTGTCATGTGTGGGTTGGAGTGACAGGGAGTGAGTAGCAGTGTAGTGTGAGATGCCTGGAGGACCAACCAGACATTAGTCATAGAAAGCTTGCTTTCCGCATACAACACTGAACCATGGAGACCTGCTTCAAAATAATACCTGCTTATTCAAGTATACTTCAGAAATGGTTTGGGGGTTGTAATTGTTGTGAACTAGCTTGCATGTCTGGACCCTTGTGGTCTAAACCACATTTAAACCAGTCTAAGTGATATGTCTGTTCACATTCAAATTGACTAGTGTAGCCTCTGTTTAGTCACAAACTGACTGCTGTCTTCATCAGAAAACAATCACATGGATTTGGCATCATCAGCAGTCTCTGCTCAGAAGAGGTGAATTTGCACGAAAACCTAGAGATTATAGCAAAGGTGTTACAAATTAGGACTGAAATACCTTGCATATCT